GATAGGTTCACCTATCATCTAGTTTGCAATCCTCCTTAGTCTTTTGAACATGAGTAGGAATTTATCCCTTGTTTCCTGTTTAGGATTGGGTTGGCTCCTTCTAAAGACTTCTCATTTTCTTTCACTTTCAGTAGCTCATTGTATCTTAGTGGCATTAGTGCCTTGCTTGGGGTTTACTGATTACCTCCCCATACTCTAAAAAAAACAAAAAAAAAAAAACAATATCTTCTCTTACATTTTTGGCTTCTTGTTTTCCAGTCAACTTTGCATTTAAATTTTTGAAGATCAATGTCAATTGTTATCTTCTGTCTTAATTCCTCCTATTTTCTTTTTCTTTCATATTTGGTAAACCCTTGCATCTTAGTGGCTTTATTGCCTTGCATGGGGTGAAATTGTAACCTCTATTTTTAGTGTTACATAAATGTATTATAGATCTTAAAAATAATTCATGGATAGTATATGATTTCTTTACTGATCTGAATTAAACTCACAAAATCAATATCTTAATTATATTTAATAGATGACTAGATTTTCTTGGTCATTAATAGGCAATAAAATTTTAAGTAGAAGACAGTTTAATTATAAATTATTTAGTATCAGGTGATGAAATATGAATTATTGTTTGAGACAAATCAAAATAGATTAAAAATTGAATCAATCAAATCCATTCTTAAGAAATATAAAAGTGTAAAATAATACTCACTTTAAATAAATATTTCTTTCTTTCATATATATATATATATATATATATATATATATATATATATATATAAAAGACTGGTTGCCAACCCACATGAGTGAGACAACAGTCTGGAAGAGAACTCTGAATTCAACATGAGGAAGGCCGTTTGGAAACTGTGGCAACACTGTACATCACGTCAAAGTCTTTAGTTGTTTCAAAAAAGTGTGGTTGGTTCTATACAAGCCTTCACCAATATAATCAAATCATGTGTCAGTATTCTGGCAATTCAATTTTAAAACTAAACTGTTAGGCGGTTATACGTTGATAGACCTAAAGTCCAATACTACTACTACTATATATATATATATATATATATATATATATATATATATATAAATGGTATATATATATATATATATATAAATATATATATATATATATATATATATATATAAAAAATGGTTTTGTATATATATATATATATATATATATAAAATGGCTTATATATATATATATATATATATAAATAAATCTGTATATATATATATATATATAAAATGGCTCTGTATATATATATATATATATATATATATATATATATATATATATATATGTATATATATATATATAAAAAATGGCTCTGTATATATATATATAAATATATATATATATATATATATAAAAATGGCTCTGTGTATATATATATATATATAAAATGGCTCTGTGTATATATATATATATATATAAAATGGTTTGTGTCTATATATATATATATATATATAAAATGGCTCTATATATATATATATATAAAAATGGCTCTATATACATATATATAAAATGGCATATATATATATATATTTTTTACATGCATATTATATAACATTTTCATCAAAATTACTGCTATTTATATACAAGTTGTCCTTCATGATAGTACTTATTTATAGATGGCAACATGAATTTTATTTCTTGGTCATCTTAGTTATCATTATTAAGCAAGATATTCAATTTTAATAATAAGTGTGATTAGTTTTAAAATCTATTATGTCTAATCATTTGCTAATTTATATAATAGATTAAAAATAGTTACCCTGAATCAGTTTTTGTCTAAATGTAATTTTAAAAAGAAAAAGACAGAAGTCTAGTCTCAAGATATTCTCATTTACTGACTCATTTTCTAATCTGAAGTGACCCTCATGGAGCTAACTAAAAACATTAATTACAACTGAAACAAGATTTTATATATATATCTTTTTAGAAAAAATAAATTTTAGTCATCACTCAAGTTCAATTTAACACAAAATAACCTTAATTTAAGTTAAAGAATCAATTCCTGTCTTTATATTGATGTTTCCGTACAGTGGTACCATTATGCTGTATGACAGTAACACTAAACAAATTTCTAATGTTGAGTCAAATTTACAGTTTGAAAACTGTCATTAGCTACTGTTCTCATCAAAAGAAAACAATTCAAACAGTTCTCTCAAAAGAACAGTTCTTGCATCACTTTTGGTTTTTTCACTCAGTTGTTATCTAAATATTCATTGTCTATGAGGAAAAATCAAGTTTGTGTGCAAATGATAATTGTGCCACAGTCAACATTACCTTGGTGGTCTTCTGCTAGTATTAAATGTTACTAATATAACATCTGAGACTACACTACTTCAGACAGTACTACATTATGCTTGATTGCAAAAATGTAAATTATTGATTCAGAACAGCTTCTAAAATATCAGCATTTGAGCTTTCTATTAACTGTGCATAATATAATTAGTAGTTACTGAAAGGTTTTAATTTTCATGGTCACAATTTCCAATTATCTAACTCTATTATTAAATGGTATTTTTCTTTTAAGAGTTATCCAATTATGAAACATTTCCAATAATTTTCATTCATGCCATGAGCTAATCTGAGACAGGTTTGGCAACAAGTAGTACCTGAGTGAATTGCCTAATATGCAAAGGAGATTAAAGAAAAGCGAGCCCATTTGCCTGTTTAAATGACATTGTATTATCTGATCACTGAATGTGAATAGAAAGACTTAGAGAAAACACAAAACAGAAGACTCATTTTGTTTGCTCAAAGCAAGTTTAAATTACATTAAGGAATTTAGTGGAAGACAATCCAGTTGATAAGTTCATGACTTTACAAAATAATAATAATGATGAAAAAAAAAAAAAAAGAAAATTTTCACAAGTTTTGTTTTAAATTTTATTTTTTAGATTTTGAGATGAAAATTTCTTTGTATCCTAATAGGTTCTGGAAATATATATCATATATAATGAAGAGGAAAAATAATATCACCAAAACTGCTGATCATCATTTCTTGGATTTTTCTGTCTGTAAGCAAACATAATGAAATAAGAACTAAATATTTCAGTCATTTTAACATAACACAGATGTTTCCAATGGATATTTAAACTGCCAATGAGAGGTTTCATGAAGACAATGTATTTTAAAAAGGTACAAAAAGACTTATTATTTAAAGTATAAGTTAAACCAATAAATACCTTTTCATTAGTTTATTTTTTTTATTGAATGATCTTGATTGGCTAATTATGACTTATTAATCAGAAATTTTATCAACTTTATAATATTTTGATAGCATTTCTTATCATTCAAAATATAAACATACAACCATGGCTTTTGATCAATTTTCTTACTGATGAGACTGCTATAGGAAATAAACCCTCTTTCTAACACAATTACATACATATATTAAAACATGTTCAAACTTTTTCTACTCAATAACAGACAATATTTACAAAGATGCAAAAAAGATTCCACAATACAACACATACAGTTTAAATCACAGTGTCTGTTGGTTAGAAATTAATATCGCCATGTGAAATATTTGACCAATCAAAGAAAACTAAGACTCTATTTTTTTTCGAGCCTACTTTTGGAGAAATTTTCTAATTAAAAACCCCAGATTTTGACTTTCAGGAGCAGAGATATTACTCTCCCCAAGCTGTTCAAAAACCAGAGAAGACATGGCTACATAGCTCCCAACCCCCAGTGTGTAACTTTAAACAAATTATCTCCAACAGCTCAGATGGTCAGTATGCCAGAGGATGCATACTTTTCTGACAAGATTTCTCAAATATTCAGATGTAGTTGGATAAAAAATACTGTTTAATTAAAAAAACAAAAAAAAAAAAAAACAGCTTCTACCTATCAAAAATAAGTTATACAAAATAAATTAAAAATAGCACGCACACACACACACACATATATATATATATATATAAGCTTAAGCCAAATTTTAAATTTTCGTATTGCGTTTCCAAAAAATAAAATTTTTTTAAGCTGTTCCTTTTATTAGACAAAGTATTGTCAGCCATTATTAATAATTTTTAAATAGTCAACCTTTCGTAGTTTAATCAGAATAGCTGGATGTTTATCATGCTTCCTTGAATAATCTGCACTATCATTCAGTATACGTGGACTACCATGAATACCTGAATTGGGCCTCAAATCATTATAATAAATCCTGTCAGGCAGGCCCCACCTTGCTTTGTCTTGCCTCAATAAAAAAAAATCATGGCTATTTATGTATGTATGTATGTATGTATTTACTCACTTCTATAGAAGCAATGGCTTGAGAAAAGTTATCAATTAAAAAATTAAAATGAAAGTAAAAAAAAAAACACTAGACAGAAATTAATATTGTTTTATAGATTTGTCCAACACTAAAACTTATTTCTCTTTTTTATTTATTTTATTTTTCTCAGCAGGCAACAACCCAAATGAAAGTAAAAACCTATAATGAAAACATCACTAATTATTATTTCTAAAAAAAATAAATTAATTAATATTTACAGATAAAAACAAATAATGCTTATAAATTATTTCTTTGCCATTTACTATTTCATGTCGAAACACTGGTTCTCACACGGTCACCAAAGTTGAGCCTGGTCAGTATCTAGATGGGTGATTGCTAGGGAATATTAGGGGCTGTGAACTTGGATGTGCAGGTGATATAATGGATAATGGCTCAGAATTAGAAATTGGAGAGCCGAATTCCAATTCCTGTCAAGTTTTTTATATTTTGTTATGGGTTAATTAGTATGACTTGTATCAATAAATCATCATTACCTCTGAAAAAAAATTATTACAATCTAAAAATATGCCATACCTTTAAGCAACATGCAAAACCCCACAAAAGGGGCAGTTTTTCAAAGTTAATGTTGACAAAATGTCATACACTTTGTCTTTGCAGTTTAATGTTAACAAGAATGGTATAGAAGACTAAAATTATGATCCTTTGATTTTCTGGTATCAAATCACTTAGAATGATCAGTAAAAACAAATGCCTTACCTTTGTCACAACGTCCCATTTCCCAGCCAGGTTTACATCCATTTTTACAGTAACCATTGTACCATTCACACACACCATCAATACAGTTGGGACTGCAAGTATTGTTGCAGTCTTCTCCATATCTTCCAGCAGGACATTCTGTTAATAAGAGGGAAGGAAATGAAAATGCCTAACAATATTTTTAGCATTTCAATTACAAACATTTCCTAAAAATATTTATTACATAGAGAGTAATAATAGCTGTAGATATTGGCACAGTTTGACATTCTTTTCCTATGGAAGAGTTTTTGTGCATTAGAATAAAACTACTAATATAATACAATAAATCTACAAAGGTTTTCAAAATAGTAGATATGTATCAGATAACCAAATGGGTTACTGGGGCAGTTCAGTTCATATTTTCTTTACTTTTAAGGAAATTTTATAAATTTCTTTTGTTTGAATAATGAACACATATCATCCACTGTTGCTTATTTTCTATTAAATTACCAAGTTATTATCCATTTAAATTTATGTAAATTTCTGTTATTATTATGTAATAAAGGAATGTTTCTAATTTGCTATTAATGATGATTCATTATGAATTGGAGATAGATTTAATTTAACAAGATTATTAATGAACAATTAGGAAAACCTTTATAAATTTTGCATGTTTCACTATTAGCTTCATCAGAATGAGACAGTATGGAGTTGTTTTGATTTTTAAATTCTATGTATTGTTTTCATTGGTTGGGTATCTGTCACATGTTCAAAACATACAAACACCATGAGGTAAACATAGGACACCCACAAAAAAAAAAAAAAAAAAACATATACACTCTTGCTATAAAATTAACAAATTTCATTATAGTCACATAAACTTGTTAATGCTTTTGTTCAATGTCCCCAGATATTGAATTTATTAACACATTTTTTCTTTTCTTCTACTATGAACTATCACTGGTGTTTGAACTCAAAAGCCTAGATTTTAAATGAAATCAGGCCATCCATGCATGGAGTATCGGCACTACACAATCTTTCTACTCTATCTACTGATTTGACCCGAGACTGAACTAAGCTAATATTGATATTTACTAATATAAAAAAAATATACTCACAATTTCCATCATCAGTGCCAAAAGTTAATGTTTGAGCCCAGCTAAAACTAGTTTAATGGCTAGCAGCTCAAAACAAGAAATCAGTGAGTAGTTCAATACATTCACTTTTGCTGAAGTAACAAAAGTGAATGTGGAAAAAAATTTGTGGAAAGGCATAGAACCATCACCCACCAGCCATGGGTTAAATAATGGGGTACAGTATGCTCTCTAGCCATGGTTGGTAACTAGGCTAAGAGAAAGAAAACTTCAAATTCAAAACCATATATAATCCTGATGAAGTACAAGATATAGAAAAGACTTTGTGACTTAACTGTGGTGTGGATTTCTGGACTCAATGACCTTGACTGTGGTTGATGATATAAAAGCTACACAATCTTTTTAACTATCATATTTTGGTCTTGTATCATACTAAGCTGATATTATTAAGTATAAATGTCTGAATTTAGAAACAAAAATTATTAAAAAAAAATTAATGTTTAATTAGAAATTATTAAGATAGATTCCACTATTATCAATAACCATTGACAAATTTCATAATGTATTTTTTTATTTTTATGTGTAAAAGTCTTCTGGTTTGGCAAATAAGAACATTGAAATAGTAGTTTCCATAACTTCATATTTAAGAATTATCCCTCAAGATGGTTGTAGGAATTCTGGAATATGAGGTAATCATCTGGATCAAAATTCGGAAAAAAGGGAGGGTGTGAAATTTTTTCAAAGCCAAAATCTTCAATCCTTTCAAATGTAATCTGTGCTGTGTGTGGCCATGCATTATCATACCACCCATGTGATTGATTAAAGCAGTGTTCCAATGCTCTAACTACTCACAATGAATGTCTGCTGTAATCATAACAACTGATATGCAACAACTCGGTGGATCATATCAATATAATCTTATCAAACAGGAAAACTTTCTATTCATGTAAAATATCAATTTTTTTCATCAATAGTTATTAACCTCTCCCAAAATGACAAAATGCATTAATGAGAGTTCAAAGAAGTGATGATCTCTATTCTTACTTTACAGTTGATGTCTTTAGTTTTAGATACACTTCCAGTGGATGAACTGAATTCAGTTTTTGAAAATTCTTCAATCATAACACCATTTTCAAAAAAGTTAATCCAAAAGCAAGTCATTGTTAAGCTCATCAGAATAACCTATTTGTGGCATATCCCATATAAAGTGAAGTTATTTTTCTAAATTTGTCAATCCATCTATTGTTGATTTTTTGAAATCCTGGCTCAAACTGTTTATTTGTGCTGTAAACAACTTTAGGAATGTCAAGTCAGTAAGTTATGTTATCAGATTCAATTAATGGATGGTATGAGCATGCTTTTTTTTCCTTTTTTTTATACTAAAATTCACCCAATACAAGGCTCAAGAGCCACTCTAGGTAGAAGATTTCTATAGTTTCTCTGTTTTATAATTCATTCTATCAAAATTTTGTTGAAGCTTTTTATTCCATTTGGTTTTCTTTCTATTTTTATAAATTTATTTTGCATGTTTATAATGATAGATAATTAGAAAAAATTAATGTTGCCCCTAGAAATATTAATGAAATCATTAATGCCAAGCATATTTTTCAAAATTATATCATTTTTTTAATACACATTTAATGAGTAGTCTCCTATATGGATGTGACACGTGTACACTTTTAGCAGAAACAGAAGGATCCAAGCATTTGAGAACAAATGCATGACAAAACTCATTGACATTTTCTATTGGGAACATAAAACCAATGAGTTTGTGTGGAAAAGGGTTGCAAGTTTTGTGGACCACCAGAAACCTCTTCTCACCACTGTTAAATGGAGAAAAATAGCATGGTTTGGACATGTTACGAGGCATGACAAGGCATCGTTGATGGTGGATGTACGAGAGGACACCAATGCAAAACTGGTTGTCTAATGTCAAACAATGGGCATGTATGACTATACCAGAATTGCTGATGGCTGCCATTGATGGACTGTTGTGGAGGAAATTCAGTGTAGTTTCTGCATTTGGATCTCCCCTACAATTACAAAAGTCAAGGAGATGATGATGATGATGATGATGATCAGCAGGTTTAATTTATGCTAACTTTTAGTGAGTTTCAAGCCCAAAAAATAAATAAAAATTAAGAAGCTGAGTTTCTGGGAGTAGTTTATGGAAATCATGCCGTTTAGATTTATAAGTCATCTTCTTCCATACACAGTTTCATTGAATATGATCAACTAAGAATATATTTATTTAATTTTTCTAGTGTCTTTACAATTTTTTCTTAAGACGAAGTGTGTAGAAACTGTATTGATAATTTTCTTAAAATGCTAAAACTTTCTGATCTCTCTCCCTCTCTCTCTCTCTCTCTCTATATATATATATATATATATATATATATAAAATGTGATGACATTACAGGCCTGTTTTGCTGTTTCACAGTGTGGCTAGACATCTGATTGCTTCAAGCCGGGATTGAAACCTGACTGATTTGGCATCAGTTGGAGTTTCTACCCCTGAGCTATCACTGCATGGCAGAGGGAAAGGGAAATTCTAGCATAATATTTTTTTTACAAATGTAAACAAATGCCAGACAGCCATAGTGCTCAATTCATTTTCAATGAAGGGCTTTGCGTTAGTGGAGACAATTGCTTTTTAGAATTATCCTATCTGTCAACAGTGCTCAACCAAAATATTTTGAGAGCATTATTTATATATATATATATATATATATATATATATATATATATATATACACACACACACACACAATAATAAAGACTATGTAAGCATACAAATGAATTAGTTGAATTAGATCAACTCTGGCACACAGCATCATATATGCTAAGTTTCAAATTTACACACATTTATATCCTTTGGTTTGAAATAAATATCTAAACAGTAATGTTGCACCATAGACTAAAAGTTGGAAAAATTCTTGAAAAATAAATTAGTTATTAAAATGTTTGTTGTTTTAATTTTTTCTATTTTTAATTTAATATTCAATTTGACATTGTTTTTAAATCTTGTACAACTTTTACAAATGGTGGCATTTAAAAAAAAAAAAAACACGAAGAAAATATTTGTCTTTAAAAACTGTATAAAAACACTTACCTTCTTCACAGTGTGTGCCTTGATGTCCCATGGTACAACCTTGAAGACATTCACCAGTAACACGGTCACATTTTTGATTTTTACAAAAATGACTGCAACGTTTTTTGCAGTTATTTCCATAAAGGCTTAACCGGCTGCAGTCTGGAAATAAATTTAAAAAAAATTACTTCTTCAAATGGCAGACATTTTGATTATTTTTGAGTGCTTAGAATTAGTATGAAGAAACTATATAGTAATATAGATCAATATATGTAAGGTATTATTTATTACATTTTATCTGATGCAAATGAATGATATACATTAGTGTTCTTATTGCATTCATATTTATGAAATTCCAAAAGAAACTTAAACCTGTTTTTTTTTTTTTTTTTTAGTCCATGTCGATAATTTTAATTTATCAATTTGAAATAATTAAAGATTAGAAATACATAAAAATAAAAATAAACTAATACTGTTAACCTAAAAGCTTAAAAGCATTTTTATATAATACACATGACTAAAAGGTCTTCTTGCTCTTACTGATAATGTATTTTTTGTATGGTTGTGACAGTTTGTATTCATTTTGCATTCCTGCTAGGAAGGGCATGAATTCATTCCTTTTCTCCCTACCTAGGGATTAAGTAGCAGGGTAGACTGGCCTCTCTAGCCTTTGGTGGCAATCAGTTTTGTAGGACAACTATGAATACAAAATATTTGTAGGAAAATGCTTCTATTATGTTTCTCCATAACAACATACAGTTTACTGACAATAAATATATAAATGGACATGGAGATCAGCATCAATTTAAAGTTAGTTTGTGATAGAGAGACGTGTAGCTATGCCATATGCTTCGCATCTAACTGGATGTGAGACATATCATGGCATAGCCACACAGCTCATCAAGTTTAATTTATATCTTGAAAATCATAGAACTGTAAAACCGGTAATGTTAGTCTAAATAAATATTCATAAAAACTCCAGTAGCATTTTCAACTTCTTTTTATATTTTTTACCAATGTGGAATATATAAAAAAAAAACAAAAAAAAACTCACTTTCTTATATGATCTTCAAGTGATTATCCTGTAGCAGGAATATCATCTCTTACACACACAACTGATGATATAACAAATCATTTAACTTTTTAAAAACTAATTATTTTTTATTTGTTTTGTCAGTAAGTCTGTAAGACATAATAATTGATACTATTCAGATTTAATTTTTCTCTTACATGATCATTTTCTTTTAATGAACCAGATTTTATTCCAGGCAGATTTTCACTTACACTTGAAAAATAACGATTTTACGGTGTATGTGTGTGTGAGGGGGGGGGGCATTAAACTTGTAAAATATTACAAAACTGATTTTTGGAAAAGGTTTTTCTTTTTAATTTTTACAAATTTGATTTAAATAAGATTTTTTGTGATTAATTAACTGTATTCTGAACCATAGAACTTTAGGCTTTCATTTTAGATCTTCAGCTATTAAGCCATCTCCTGAAATAAATAATTTTCATCTTACCTCGGTAGCAATCTTCACCACTCCATCCTGTCTCACAGCCACTACGGCATCTTCCTGTTTCCTTGTCACAAGCTTCTTTTTTGTCTCGACATCGGCATGACTTTGTACATTTATAGCCAAATTTGTAATCATCACATGCTACAAAAAAATTTAGAGAAAGGTAAGTCCAATTGAATAATATAAGTGAAACTTTAAAATGATTAAATTTTGAATGGCATAAAGCTTTAAAATGATTCCATTATGAAACATTAAAATTATCAAGTAGTTGAATCTGTTGATCTCAAGTCTTCACCTTGTAGCCTCAGTGGGAGAATAAATTAAATTTGATAGGACAAAGAGGAAACATTATTTAATTAAACAGAGCAGATATACAGAGGGGGACAGAACCACATCTACCTGTTGTTAATCTTGTCATTGACACATTTTGTGACTGCTTCAATATAATTTTGTTTTAGAAATAAAGAGTTGTCTCTCTTGGTTTACACTTTGTCTCCTTGTTTACTTTGTTGTTTCAGCAAAGACATAAGGCAAGTTACATTTGTGGTTTCATAATGTGCATTTTTGTTCATTAGTCACCCAGCATACTTGTACCTTGAATAGTTTGCATTCTGAAAACTGTTTCTTTGCTAACTCAATAACATGGTAGTGAAAGAGTAATAAGAAAATGAATTACTAAATAAGCAAAATTAAAGAACATTAATGATATTAATATAAAAAACAACTTTCAGTAATTAATGTAGACTAATAGATAGCAGCTTGTCTTACAGATCATTAATATTAAGCAGTGAGTTCAGTCTTTACTCAGTGATCCATACTCATGACCTTATGCCCAAACTAATCTTTATGGTATAAAAAATAATTGAACATAAGTCCATGATTTCTTTAATGCATAGTCAATTATGTGAATGCAAGAATTAAACATATATGATCAATCAGCTAAGTGACAAATTTTATATTTGTATTAATCATATATATTTTATTTCTTCAAGCATAATTTCATACCTGTTACTTTAATCTTGATGTTTTGAGCATACAAAGCTGTACTGAAAAATTCTTGGCCTAACCAAACAACTCTGTTATGGTTTTGGGCTTCTTGGTCAGGCTTAGAATTATTCACTAGCTTTTTGCAAGTTGTTTTCTTTTTTTTAATTCTTTTAATTTATAACTAAAATATATAAAATGTCATCCTTTTGAAAAATTCCATTGAAACACTGATTCCCATACAAACACCGAAGTTAAGCAACATTGAGTTTGATCAGTACCTGGATGGGTGACCACTTGGAGTTGTTAATCAGAGAGCCAAGTTTCAATTCCTGTTGGGTTTGTTACATTCACTTATGTGTAAATACCCTTGGAAAAGGCATGAATCTACCTCATCTACCCTCCCCCCAGTCATGGGTCAATTAGTAAGCTTTCTATCACTTAACCATTATTATCACCATAAAAGAAAAATTCTTACAATCTAAAAATAGAAAATAAATCAACAAAAATATTACAAAATTTAAACAAAGTTTAACTTAAACATTCACTTACAATTTTAGAGATTTTAAGACCTACATTTTTTTAAATTTAAAATTTTAGTAATTTTGCTTATTAAATATTAAAATATTATGCATAAAAATAGAAGATTGTATAGTTTTAATAAAATCATTTTTATAAATTTACTTAAATTTCTTAAAATAATTCATTTTTAATTCAATTAAATAAATTTTAATAATCTAAATTTAGAAAGAACTGTCAAACACATTTTAAATTGTATATAAAATTTATAAATTCTTTGCTTTTTTTTCAGTTTCTAAAAAAATTTGAACATCTATTTGAACTATTTTCAAAGAAATAAAATGCCAGAAAAGATTTGTCAATTTAAACCTGCGAATTCCATATACAAAAATAAATTTTCTCACAACTGCCAAAGTATATAAACAGATGAATATGGCAAATGTGCATATAAGAATTATTAATTTTTTAACTAGCATTTTATTTTAGTTTAATTTTAATAAGAATTATTATAATTCTGTTTGTACCTCTCTTAGCATGACCATTACACCCTGCCAACATCTCATAAATGATGGACTATTCCATTTTGATCATGTAGAAAGATGGAAGAAACATATCAGAGTTACTACTTTATTTCAGTGAGAAAATGAAAGAAAAAAAAAAAGATAGAAATGTTTAATGTCTATTTCAGGGAAATGGAAGAATTATCAGTTTCAAGTATTTCATTTGTATCCCCTTACTTCTCAAAATAATGACCAGTATTCATATTTGTGATTGTTATTGCAATATTTTGTTAAAGTTGTTAATCTGAAATAATTAACAATATGATAGGGAAATTTCTATGGATATTTTATCACAGAACTTGGCATGAACTTATTCAATCATTAACTTAAAATTCCAGTAGGAAAACTGTGAAACTTTTACAGGTATTTCTAGTCAATAAGTGTTCATCTAATAAAAATAAAGATAATATTGCACATAATAGAATCTTAGATTTTTATCTCAGAGGCAGAGATGAATGGGGTAAATACAGAAAAAAATAAAATTGACTTCTTTAGTGAAAAGGAACAAAGTTCAAGAGTATAACATTTGATTTTAAATGTGGTCTCACCTTCCCAGCTGAGGTCATACTATCCTGATCTTATCAAGTAATTAATAACAAACATATTTTTTTTTCTTTTTTAATTAATGGTTTCTCGTTTGAAAAAACATTGATTATTCTTATCAGTGTAACCTGGAAAAGTAAGATGATCTCTGAGAGGAATGTGCAAGATACGGCTGGATGACCAATATAGTCAGATGCTGAGCTCTCATTACCAACTTGACTTTGGCATACCTGATGAAACTCAGATTGTCAATAACAGAAAAGAAAAAATATATTAAGAGGCTTCCAAATTGAGTATAGACTGCAACTGTATAGCTCTGAAACACAGTGTTATGGAAGAAAACCAACAAAGACTGTTGGTATCATGAGGTATTGCTGGAGAACACTGGGTTAATGTTTCAACTTTAACCCCAAGGTCATCATCTGATGTTTTTTGGAGGTGCTGTTGCTGCTTCCACAGCAATTTTAGGAATTTAAGAGATGATGTATCTAAAAACTGAAAAAATGGGGAAATTTTACTAAAAACAGAACTTCAGAAATATCACAAAAAATGTTAACTCTAAAACATCATTCTTTGAATTCACAACAGTTATTTCCAATGGAGGCCAGATTTTGGAACAACATTAACCTCTGGCAGGCCAATGTTTCATTTGTATACACACCCCAACTTGGTAAATGTGTTGTTGAAAAATATATCTGCAACAATTTAATTGAATCATGGCCTGAAGTGATTTTCAAAACACATAAGGATTGAGTAGGAAGTATTTTCACTTGATAGCTTTTTACTAGAGAAAGTTAAATAATTTATTTACAGAGAAAATCTTGTAACACAAGTTATGAACCAGGAGATGAGGATAAAGAACTAAAAATTAGATATCTCCTGGCACCACTAGGAATGCTGACAGCTTTTGGATAATTTTTTTTTTTTTTTTAAGCATTTCACCCCAAGCAAGGCAGGAGTTCCACTAGAATGCAAGGGGTTACAGAGAGTGGGAGTAAGAGTAAAGAGGCATAATAGAGGAAAAGATGAAGAGAAGAACAGGGAACTAGATCAAGGCATCTGGAGATGTTGATGGACATTGCATTTGAATAATTGAAGATTATAGTTATCAAGGAAGCAAATAAGAGGAAGAGAGTCCCACACACAGGAAGTGCGAGACATGAAGCTATTAGAGTAGAAGAGACAGCTACATTTAACTGTTTCAACAGTGAAAAAGTGGGACTGAGATGCCAACCTAGTAGCACGTTTAAATTCATGCAGTTTGGGAACCAGTGAAAGTAGCTTGTTGGAGCATTTACCATGAAAGTATTTGTAGAAAAGACAGGGAATCGACGGCACATCTGTGAGAGAGTGACTGTAAATGAGAAGCCAGATCAGAGCCAATCCCATTGCATATCTGTCTCTGGATTTTGTCAAGGACCTTAAAATGAACAGTGGGGGCTCCAGACCGTATATAGCAGCAGTATTTCATGCAAGGGTAAATGGTTGATTTATAGATTTGAAAGATATACTTGTGTAAGAAAAACTTTCTAGCATGGCACAGACCTTGTGGTAGATGAAACTATTGATTCAATCCTGTTGGATTTGTTTCTTTTTAGTTTACAAATAAATGTATTTACTCAAAATTAGAGCTACAATCATTTTTCTTGAATATGTATGATTAAAGAAGAAAAAAAATAAAAATAGCACTTACCTTTTTGGCAATTTTTTCCCAACCAGCCAGCTTTGCATCCACTTTTGCATTTACCTGTGACTTTGTCACATCTTTCAGATTTATCTTTGCAGTGACATTTCTTTGAACATTTATCTCCAAAGCTGGTAAAGTCACATTCTAAAATAGAAACATAGAAAAATGTGAGTTACTGAATTCCATTTTTTTTTTTTTTTTTAAGAGGTTTATTTAAACATAAATAATTTTATACAAATATTCTATGATAACTATGACTGACAGGAAATACATAGTTTATTTAAACACAAATAATTTCTGGTACAATTATTTTTGAAAAATTATGACTTATAAATAATAGTACACTGTATAGAAACATGACATGGTGGGAAGGAAAATTAAATTATTTCTGATGTGCCAGAAATATTAAAAAACTAAATGTATACAATATAGTAAATAAATCTATGCATGAAATAATTTTTGTAAAGGATAAAGGAGTGAAAATCTAGTCAAATGTTTTGTCTTTCTCCTAATTTCCTTTTCTACAAAATCTAACAATCCTCAGAAATAAACAATTTTTTATTATTCTGTTACCATTTTATATGTAATATAAACCCAAATTTTTATACTTAGAATTGTGCATTTAATTATAAATTATAGTTAAAATAAATTTCACTGAAAAAAAAAATGTTTGTAGAAAAAGATATTAAAGGCAGTGTTGTTTTTTTTTTTTTTTTTTTTTTTATTTAGCAGATAAAAATATAGTAAAAAAAAATTCCAACAATATAAACTTAAAAAAGAATTATACAGAGGTAAATCAATTTTATAGCCTCATCATAAAAAAAAACATTTTATACAACAAAGATTTATTATTCAACATAATCTCATTATTCATTGACTAGATCGATCTAGCATTATGCAGTAAAAATTTCAGATCAAAATTCACTTCATAATATGTGACTTCTTGATCCACCTTTGTCGTGTCAAATGAAGTTTTATCTTACATTCAGATTTATTCTAAAATTTTTAATGATTAAAAAACATCTGTTTGTAGACTTGTGATAAGAAAAGATTATTTGTTACATATTTGTCAGTTATATTAGAAATACAAGAATCAACATATGTATCTATGGCTCCAAAATGACATATTTTAAAAATTTTCAGAAATTGTTGTTTTTGCGTTTAATATTATATTTCAACAAGTGAAATACCTTGACAGTAAATACTTGATTTACAATGAGAAATTGGAGATCCAAGTTTGAATTCCAGTCAGATCACTATATTCACTTATACTTAAATACCATTGGAGGGTGTTGAATCTGTTTCTTCCCCTCAGCTATGGGTTAAAAAGTAGGATTTGTAATTAGAAAAAGCATTGTTATACTCTAAAGAAGAAAAAATGTTCATGCAATATTCACTCAGAAAAATATTCTTACAATCCAACAATGTTTTGGCTGCAAAGGGTTGATAAGCCATAAAAAAAAAAACAATAAATCAATCTTCTTTTATGTGACTTCAGTATGTGAGTGGTCATGGCTCACAGCAAATTCTTATTCTTTATAGTTCTTAGAAATGTTTGTCTTTTTTACAATCCCTCCCACTCCCATTATTCATTTATACAAGTTCATCAGTTAGATTACTCATTGTTTCCCTCTCCCTCATTTTCAATATGTCCTGAGAGTGTCAAATTCTCCAAGCTCCTGTTCTTCATTCTGTGTGCCAAAAATTTCAACTGTCTTTTTCTGGTTCTAAATATGTCCATGGTATTTGCAGCATCCTTCTGTAGAAATGGATCTCTGTTGTCTTAAGTTTCCTCTTCATTTGTGAGGAAATTGTCCAACATTCACTGCCATATAGAAAGATTGATACTACATAATATTTCAGTATGTTTTTTCATTATTTCTAATGATTTTTTTTTTTTTTTTAAATGCTTTTAGCTTTTGGAAGGTATTGTTCATAATTCCAATGTGCCTTAAAATTTTAGTGACACATTTTCTGTCTTCTGTTACTTGTGTACTGTTCAAATTGACCATGCATTTAGGTAATGCACATATACTTTATCTAACTAATTATTTAGATGTATGTACATATGTTATAGGTTTGTATAAATTATTAGATATGATAATACAGTTACCAAAGAACCCTATATCCTAGCATATTTAGTATGGAATATGGTAGATGTAGTGTGGAATTTAATAGGTCGCATGTTTGTGTATCTTAAGGGAATGTGCATGTTCAGTATGTAAACAAAGAAGATAGAAGACATACAAAAACCTTTTGCTACGGACATTTGTTTCACTACAGTCACCAAGTAAAATAAAGTTCTCAATGTCTCTTGGGTATGTCCATTTTCTATTTTTGGTTGAGAAGCTAGTATAACAATGGTTAAGCTCAAGTCAGCTTTGCACCAAGTTAGAATGACCAATTCACTTACTTCATGAGTAGGGCTGCCAAAACACATCTGAACAATGTCATGAAAAAGAGAAATATTGTCTTTTCTGGAAGTGGGGTCATCAAATTCTGCATGTGACCAAAAACCCTTTCTGGTTTCTTCATAACTTGTATCATAGGAAAATTAATTTGTTTTTTCTTTTTATTCTTTATTATTATTTTATTGGTTTAATTTCATTTTCTCACAAAAGCAATAGAAGAAAGTGAATCATTTAGGGTTGGTCTCTTAAAAAAAAAAAAGAAGGATTATTTCATATTTAATTCCCACTGGATCTTTAGCTACTGTTCTTTGATTGTTGTCTGTAGAAGTTTAATGTATATAAACATATTGTAATAATGAATGAACTGTTACAAATCCCATTTGTGAACATATTGAAGTTAATAGGTAGGTATGAAGGATAGATTGAAAGTGAGTATGTACAAATATACACATTCTAACATGTTATTGGATACAGAAATGCAAGGGCCATCAATATTTCCTGTGGACGAGGGGGTGCATGGAAATAGCACTGAGATTACTTTGCGGGAAAGTCTTCTTGAGCCAAGTGCTTTTTTCATTTATTTTTTTGAAAATGATTATTTAATAATGAGATCTTTAACAGCACTTTTACAGGAAGATGACACTGTCTATTGGAGCCCAAAATACGCCAACTGCATTCCTATGCAGAGGGGTAAACCCCTTCCAAAAAGAAGCTTCCTCTTTACTGGACCCTGTTTTTGGTGATTCCTGCAAACCTGCTCCCTTTGATTCATACAAACCAGACTCATGTATACCTTTTTTTTTTCTTTTTTTTTAACTCTCATGCAAACCAGACATAACTACTTTTCTATTGTTTATCAAAATGTCAAAATTCAGCATGAAATAGCCTGGAAAAGGTTGATGTTCCGTTAAAAAGAATTTATAATTAAACTTTTATAACAAAGAATTCTCTTGTCCTTAATAGCAAGTGATGTAGAAAAAAAGTGTTATGGGAGAGAAAAAGTATAGAACAACAATAACAATAAATGAAAGTAGCTTCTTTATTTTGAAATTAGTGTTAACTTTGTCATCCTGGTTTATTTTGCTTGAAATCAATATATCTATTATATATTCTACAACAAAATCAATATACCTATTAGTTTATTCCATTGCAGACAGGATTTATCTATGCCTATTGAAATATATGATTGACCATTTCATACAACAATGGTATGAATCAATCCGTGTCTAGTGATAACTGTCATGACACAGAGTTATATATAATAAAATTATTTTTTAAAATCTTAATAGCGATACAAACAGGAAATTTGAGTTTTAACTATAAATATTTTACTTGAAAAATTCTGAGCTTCTTCACTTCAAGTTTGACTAGATATTTCTAATTCTACTTCAGCTGTGATTTGTTTTTTATTTTGAGTTTTCATTCTTCATTCCACTTTAGGCCAACTGCATGTTCTCTTTCATTGTATATTCTATTAATGTTTCTTTTTGTATCTTATTAAAATTGCCTTCTGGAAATTTCAGATTCATTTATCTAATTCTATACATATTTTATCCAACTCATCATTACTCTTAGACTTTTAAGTAAAAAAAAAAAGAATCAAGAGTGAATATAAAATTATTGGACAAGGCCAGTAACTTCCTTTTCATAAAAAAAATTTTTCCAATAAATGTTTCAATATTTCTGCAATGCATACATGAAACTGGCAATGATTCAACAATATATGATTATCGATATTGTTTGAAAAACTGTGCAAAAGTTTTCAGCACTTTCTTTTAAAATAAGGTTGAATACACAGCTGAAAATTTTTTTTGCTGGAAACTTTTGCGTACAATAAAATATAAATTTAATATACTATTTTTTTTTTTTTTTTTCAACATAATTTTTTCAAAATGGGTCAGTTCCTTTTTCTTTATTTTTCTCAATGATTTCAAGCTTGAATACATAAATTGTTCCAAATGTGGAATTGGTAAGACTGAAAAAAATTTGAGTAAGTTGAAGAAAGCATTTATCATCATGAGGAAAAACTACAGTTGACAAATCTAAATGAATTATGGAATTAAATGTTAGAAAAATAGAGAACACAATAGATATTTATAGATTAAAAGCTGCTAAGTCTTTACATTAAAAAGTCCTTATAGGAGATCCAAGACTAATTTTTAGAGTAGACAAATATTCTATTAACTGTGAGTCTACTAACAGAATTTGGAACACAATTTTAGTTTCCATATGCCAAACTTAAAATTCTCAAAAGCCTTTTAAACTTTATTATACACTCCCATTTTGTTTATGATTAATGGAATATTTATTACAAGTGATTTTTCTACTAGTCACTTTTTTAGGTTTCTGGCTTGCTTTTTATTCATTTTCAAAGTAACACCCAGCTTCCAGGCATAAGTTTCAAAAACAATAAAAAAAACTGTTTGGTTAATTCTATCTGAACAAATGTGATGTTTTCTACTATGTCCACCAAAACCAAATTGGTTCAAGTAAAGTCAATTTTTTTTTCTTAAAACCAGGTGCAGAGATGCAGAGGGTGATTATCTCCCTTTTGGTAGGATGAATTTACAAGGGTCTTGTAATGGCAAGTATCAGCTCATGCAGTGATTTTTTTTTTTTTTTTTTTTTTTTTTTTTTTTTTGCTATGTAGCCTCCAAGGAAGATAGATGTGATAGTTCACAGTAAGAACAACAAATGGAAACCATATACTCCAAACAAAGAAATTAAAAAATA